TTTACAATTGCCAGCAATGCTGAATTTTCGTTCAGGGACTAAGATGATAATCCCAAACAATTCAGGCACTTCTGTCCTCTCTCATGTTATTTCATTCCAACACAGGATAAGAGATCACATGTGGAATAATAGGCAATGAGTTGCCTTTCTTTGGGAAAAATTTCCCAAGAATCCCAAAGTAGGGACCTGCTACCATTAAACACACTGAGGTGATAGCTTAGTTTGATCTTTCTTTTTGGATTTGCTGCTTAGGTTGCATGTCATTTTGGCATGAGAAGGGTCTCCAAAGGGCACCAGCTGGAGCACCTTTCTGGCAACGTGTTTGCTGTGTCAGGACACCTCTGTGTGACTCCTCTGTGCCCTTCACCACATGCAGTCTCTGCTCCCCCATGCAGTGCTGGAAGGAATGTTTTGAGCCCAATCAGTATCCCTGCAGTGATGAGGAACCTCATGGAAGGTCTTGCTGACTGATCTGTTCATTCTGTGAAACATCCATGGTGATAGCAAAAAAAAAAGAAAAAAAAAGGATGACCTGTGTTGCAGTTAGAGAGACAGTTTGATTGTATTTTCTAATCCAGCTGTTCCCAGCTGATTGCAAGAAGTTGTGAGCTGATGGAAACACAAAACAAATAGCTGGAACCACATATGGAAACAAGAAAAGTGCAGCAGTCATCCATTATGAATATATTTTGGTCTCCTTAAGCCTCAGCTCTGAAAATTGTCTCAGAGGCCACTCCATTTCTCTGCATTTTGAGGAGAAACAGACCTGATCCAGAGTGTAGAGTTGCCATTCCTGACACTAGATCTACAGCTCTTCACTAGGGTTATATCGGTTGTTTTTTGGATTTTAAACACACAGGCTTCATTCCAAATGTAATAAGGACATTGAAAGGCTCTTGTTTGTTGTGCTGTCCTTTGACTTGTACTGCTTGGGACAAACTCTCTGCATGCTGGTGCATGTATGAAATTCTTTTCTTTTATACAATTTTCATGGAAAACATTCACTATATTTAAGGGTACTTTCTGCAGTGAAGTTTTCACTCTAAAAATAATATTTTTTTATGTTTAAAAGTAATTATTGAAGAGAGGAATATGCACTGTTTATAAGCATGTCTGCCTTTAGAAACTCAGAATTTACATGTCAAAGGATTAAAAAAAGATAAGAATGAGAAAGCCTAATTTCATTCTAAACTTTGGATTGATAAGTGAGGTGAACATAAAATGCAAACTAACAAAACGCATCAAAAACACCTACCAGAATACACTTACAAAAGTTTGCTTGAAGCAAAATAACTTTTTCACTCTTTTCTGTTTGAGTAACTTGCCTGAAAGGGAACCTTAAGTAGAGAGAAGGTAAAGCACTTGAAATATTTTATGGTTCAACTTTCATAAACCACATTTACAGAAATTTTGCTCAATACAGGAAAAAGTTTTGCTTTTGTTGTTCCTAAAAATGACTTCAGAAAATGCAATAGTGATAGTTATCTGAAAGCAAGGGCTTTGAAGACAGAGAAATTACTGTGAAAAGGATTTATATATACTTCCATCTATGCTTTTCTTTTTATCTATATGTTTATATACACTTAGATGTGTATCTGAGCGTGTATGTAGAGTGTCCCACTCCATATGTTGGTGGTGATTGTTGAGGATGAACTATCATTAGCATTCTTGTTAAATGTGATTTTCAAGGTTACCAATTCTCTGCACTGATGGAGATCTCAGCACTAAATAACCAGGATATTTCAAGTGCACACATCTGGCTAAAATTTTTATCTCTGCTAAATAGATGTTTCAAATTATTTTCAGTTTTAAAAGGCATTTTTTAACACTAACATTTACCTTGTCAAACTAACTGTAAACAGAATTTATAGGGAATGAACTTCTTTACTGCATTTTCTGTCTGTACAGCTGCCAGAGACATGGTAATAAACTTTGAGGATTTTTCTGAGCTCATGTTGCAGTAAAACTATGATTTTATTACAAAACCAGGGGTGATTTAGATTCCTTGTTGTAAAACCAGGAAACTACATAAATTAAAAAATAAATTCATAGTTGAGCAAGAGGTGTTGTGATAAAGTTTCCAGAGAAACAAGTACAGGCTTTTAAGTGCAAGTCCAGCTTCTTATTTGAGACCTTGAGATTGACTTTCACACTCAGCCTTTTGGTCACAGTTCGCAGACATTGATTACTCTCTCCCTCTTATTCCTGCTCCCTTGAATCACCTGTTCTACCAGTGATTGAAGTTTGTCTTAAGAAGGCTTAAGCTAACCTTGGTGTTCCAAGGCCAGGATTTTCTGTAGCAAGCACCAGAGAGAGGGCCTGGATGTGGTATTTGTATTTTATTGTAGTAAAATGCATAGTTGGCTGCCTGTAAACAAAAACTTCTCTCTGGTGAATAGAAAAAACCTGTCAGGGCTATTAATTTACCCAGTGCAATGAATTTGTGTATTGACTTCTTCAAGTAGTTGGGCACCTTCTATTTGATAGAAGACAATGCTAGAGGTTCTGTCAAGATCCTTGTGTCCCAAAGTAAATATCCCTCTGCAAAGGATTGCTTTAGTTCTTCTGTGGCATATAAAGGACTGGGAATCGGATCATAAAAGCCAAAGGCTTAAGAAACCTTTGGTTTTCTGATTTGATAGAGAGAGAAAACTGAGAAAAGCAGTTACCAGAAACTAGAGAAAATGTTTGCTCAGACAAACTTTCAGTGTTTTCTAACATTCTAACTCAGTAATTTTACAATGTAACTAATGAGATTAAAATATGCAAAAAGATTCTTAAAACTATTTAAAATACTCTTACATACCTCAGATGAGTCTCATGTAGGCTTTTCATCTAAAAAGGAGTTTGGTGATCAAGTAATATGGATTAGCTGAGAGATTTGTCTGCTCAAGTGTATTTGCAATATGAATAATAGAGACAAAATATTTAACTGGTGAAAGATTATGTTTTTCACATCCTTTAGCTTTGCATTATATTTTTTCATGACTTTCTTAATGGAATTCAGGGGTATTTAAGTTGTGGCCTTTATGTGATGCCATGTTGTGGCTGAACTAAATCAGAATGAGAGACACAATTCTGACCGATTTGCTTTCTACTACATACTGTTAGGCTGTAAACCACACATCATATTCCTCCTAACACAAGGGTTAATTGATTTGAAATTCCATGGAGAGAGGGAAGTCAAGTTAGGCTCGATCTTTGATAGCCTTGTTACCTAGGATACTTTTTATGTGGTTTAACTAGTGAGTGCACTAGTTTAACTTTGTTTATGCATGTGCCTAGCATGATATTAGCTGGGTCATGAAAGTTATGTGCCTTATTAATGAATAGGGGAATAAAGAATTGTTACCAAATGACAGAATGGGTGGTGTTGGAGAGCCCCTGGTCCAACTCACGTGTTCAAATCAGAGTCAACTAGAGCAAGTTGCTCAGGACCACTGGAAGAGTCTGGCTCTATCTTCTTTTCCACTTCCAGGAGACGCTTAGGAACAGTGACAAGATTCACTTTAAGCCTTTTCCAGGCTAAACAGTTCCAGCTTGCTCAGCTACTCCTTGTATGACATAGATGTTGCAGTCCCTAGTCATCTTCATGGCTCCTCAGTGTAATTCCTTTAATATTCCCATAACTTTCTCGTACTGGGGAGCCTGAAACTGGACTCAGCATTCCAGATGTGGCCTTAGTAGCAATGAGCAGTACCGAAGGATTGCGTCCCTTGCCTTGCTATCACGAGTCCTCCTAAATGAATCCTAAAAGTAGTCTTTGCAAAACTCTTCATCACCTTTAGCAAACAATTATTCTTGTTTGTGGGATGTATTTGGTGTATTATTTATGCAAAGTGGTGTAACTGAAGTATTTCCGATTCGTCTCCTCATGTGTGGTTTCCAAGACATACATTCCCTACGCTTTTTTTTACTTATTTTGAACACTTGTACATTTTGGTTGGCTTTGTGACTAAGCTTCTGATGCTTGCATGCTTTCTGCTCTGTACTTGGTCAATAAGACTCTGCCAGTGAATGTCTACAATAAGCAGGAGGTAATATGAAATAGAACTACAGCATTTTGAATATTTACTTTGATGTTTTAAAAAGCCATTTTTAGGACAACTAGTGGTTTGATTAATTTACTCTTGGGAAATACACTTGCTTTTCATGAATTAGCAGAAAACTTGTGTTATGTTCTTGGTAAAAGGAAAAAAATCGCAAAAAGGGTCTTAGAACACTGTGCATTTGGGAATGTTTCTAAGACTTAGCGTGCTTTGTGGAATTTAGAAGTCAGAATTTATGCAGTCAGATTCAAACCACCAAAATAAGTGGTTCAGATTCATAGGAAGTAATGATTCTAAAAATAACTGAAGGTTGCACAAAACATTTAGAAATTTAAGGAGAATTTTAGGACCCCAGCTTTAAAAACCCAGTTTGCAAATCACAGCCTGTATTTTTTCATGTTTTCATAATTTGTAACTGTGTATATGTAACAATTTCTTTCATTATTAGGAAATGGTAAAAAAATATTGTGAAATGGTTCTGTTTCTAGATATGTTATTAGATTTGGATTATATGGTCTCAGAGAATGGTTAAATAACTTGATTCTAGATAATTGGGCAATTGTTCACTGAGCCACTCGGTGTCCTTAATCATGACAGAAAAAACAAAAGCCTTTCCACTGTACCCAATGCACAGAGAGTTGCTTTATGAAATATCTTTTTGTCACATCCAGTTTTTATAGTGTTTTTATTTGAAGTTACCTAATTTTTTTCTCCCACCCCTTAAAAATAAATGTTTCTTTCCTGTGGAGCTGGAGTTCAGAAGTAGTAGTGCATGCTGTTGTCTGCAAATGAAGGGCTACATCTCCTTTTGATGTCTTATCTCTCCCTTTATCCCAGTATCTTTCTCAGTGGAAAAAAAAGGAAATGGTAGACTTGAGGCTCAGGAATTTGCCATGAGAAGTGCTGGATACCGTCTAAGATGCATAACTCCTGTGTTTGTCATTACTGCAGTGCTGCATATGATGCCATCCTTGACAGAAACGTGGCCATTAAGAAGCTCAGCAGACCATTTCAGAACCAAACTCACGCCAAGCGAGCTTACAGGGAGCTGGTCCTCATGAAGTGTGTGAATCATAAAAATGTAAGCTTTCAGTAGATGGCTGGAGAAGTGATGTGTATATTGGTTTGTTAGGAAGAAAGCAATTTTGTTAAGTTCCTTTTAAAACAGAAGAACTGAAAAGTAAATTATGCTTGAGGGCTGCAGTCAGTCTGGTACCATATACCCACATGAGGGAATGAAGATGTTCCATGTGCTTATTTAAAGGCTATGCCAAATGTGGATGTCCTGGCAGGGTTAGAATAGTAGAAGGAGAGAGAGAAGAATGGGTTCTTGTCAGCTCCTTATCCAGAAATACGTAAGTGGTTGTTGGAATCTTGATTCCATCCTCTTGTCACTGGTATTTGTGACTGAAAAGCATGTCTTCTGCACTGGAATATCTATGATCACTCCTTGTTCTGGACTTCATTTGAAACCAACTCATATATAAATGCTTTGTATAGGTTGTGCAAAACTGCCAAAGAAAATTAAGAACCAAAAGCACATATTTGTGAGGAAGCTAATGTTGTGAGGAAGCTAATGTTGTGGAGCCAGGAACTCTGAAACCTCAGCATTGTGCTGTTACTTCTAATCCCAGTGTTCTTGTTGAAAAAAACACAGCATAAGCAGCTTTTAGACTTCCCTGCTTCTTGAACTCACTACCTATTGTATTGAAAATATTCCTACATTGCAGAAAGAGTGTTATTCCAAGGCTGTGTGTTAACTAGAACCATTATCTGTTAGAACTATCTACCTGGCAGTAGAAACTTGCTTTTTTGTAGTGAAATAATAGGATTGCTGCATTTCATTGTCAAGGGATCTCTCAGGGATATAGTTTTCCTCCAATTCCTCAATTTCTCCTATGGCCTCCTGCCATATCTGCGTGCCCATTCCTTTTCACTGGGAGTGAATTTTTCAGGTTGCAATGTTTAACCCTGCCTCAGATCCTGCAATAACTCTTTCTTTTTAAGCAGAGCAAAAATGAGCTTGAACAGTGTGATGTTAAGGTGACATCTATCGCAAATTCACATGAAAAGAAAAACGACTGACTCTAGAATGGCAAACCGCAGGACTTGTCACTCTAGTGTCCTCTGCCTCTCTTCTGGGCATTAATTTATCCTTACATTCCCACTGTGTTGATCAGGAATGTACCTGTCTCTTCCCTATTAACTTGATGGAAGCTACTCTCAGTTGCTTCTCAATGCATGGGGATTTGAAAATGCAGGAATAAATGAGGAGTTCTCTCCTTAGGCAGGAGAATGATGCATTCTCACTTCAGTTTTTTAATGGACTAGAAAGAGCAGAGGGCAGCAGGAGCGGCAATAATTTCAAATACGTAATTTTAAACGTGCTGCTTGAGAGCTGCTAACAACACCATGTTGGTTGGGCTAGAGTTTCGATCTGTCTCTGTAGAGAAGTGCAAAGGAAGCAGAGGATTGTAAAGGCTCCTGCGCAGAGGAAATATTCAGTCAGAATATGTGGAGTAAAGAGAAAGAATATTGAACCCTTTTTGTTAGAAAACCTAGATGGTTGACGAAGATGGAGAGGGAGACATTCAGATGTTGCCTTCATGGCAGCTGTGCTGATATCATCTACCTCTGTTATCTGTACACAAGGAAAGCCTGGGAAGTTCAGATCTATGAGGTCACATTTTTCCTCTATGCTGTTTCACATATTTTTACCGGTGCCTTACAACAGCCTAGTCCATTTAAAATCAAACAAACAGAAGCCCAAACAGAACCAAAAAAAAAGAAAAAAAGAAAAGAAAAAGAAAAAAAGGTAAAAAAAGGAGTTGCAGCATGCAAGATGCCTTTACTCAGGATTTGTCTGCTGTTTTAAAGTACTTCTACCAAAAAGTGTACCTCTCATGGTGGAATTTGAGTCATCCAGTGTGTGTGTGTATGTGACCTGAAAGGAACTGAGGCCATGTCAGAGAGAAGGAAGGACTTCTGTTTAATAAGATGGTCCTTGATTATTTGTCCCCTTAGGTTAGTAATCCTCATAAATAAGAAATTTCTGGCTGTAGCACACAAGGACTGCTATGCTAGGTTGAACTTATATTTGAATATATAACTTCAAAATTCAGAGGACTGTCTGACCCTTAGCATTTTAGTTTGTCACTGGCTATCCTTCTTTAAGACCATTTCAAGTGCACCTTGAAGAAATCTTAGAGATCTGTGGTATTTTATTTTAAATGGTGCCAAATTTTCACTGATCCATAAAGTGAGATGTGTTAATATAAATTGAGCAGTGAAAACCAGTTTATCCTTTAACACATTTCAAAATGATTATGTATATCATTTCTCTTCATTCTTTTGTCTTACTTTGCTTTCTAGATTATCAGTTTATTAAATGTCTTCACACCACAGAAATCTCTGGAGGAGTTCCAGGATGTGTAAGTAACAGAAGCAGTAATTAAGCTAAAGCTTTAGGGGCATTATACTGTACTTTGAATGTAATAACTCAGCAAAATGCAAAGGTTATAAGCACATCCAGACAAGATCGTGCAAGTCTAGTGGGTAGACACACATTCTGCATTCCCCTATTGAGACGTCTTTTGACACTTATAAAGTCACAAATAATAGCTTTCATATTTGTTTTGGTATGACCTTCGACTGAATAAAATTACTTGCCTAGGGAACTACACCAGGTGTAGAAGACAACTGGCATCTCTGTTGGAACCTTGCAGTATTACACAACCACTACTGTGTGTAGTACAAACCTTCTGTGAATGAAATTTTAAACAGTCCGTGTTTTTATATAGTTGTTCTCCTTTTATCTTTCTGTCTTTCCCATATTCTGTATACATTGTATGGAAATGTATGCCATTATGTAGTCTGATATCAGAAATAACCTATTAGCTGTGATGAGAATTTTGTGAAGTCATACAGTCTTAGGAGGATTTTTGGATGCATTTTGCATGGGGATGCATGTTTTAGCCTCTCAGACTTCTCTGTTTCTCTCAGATTCCTACATGTACTTTGGTAGCCATTCCTTGCGATGGTCAAAGGCCAAGCAGTTATGTCATTTGGTGCTTGTGGCTCTTTTGTTTTCTGCACTTTTCCATGTTGTGCTGCCTGATTGCCCATGTAGGTTATAGTTTCTCTGCATGGGGAATGCACCAAGGAAGGTGCACCAGTTTTGCTGGGGTGCTAAAATTGTAATGTCTCTGCAGTGAGATACAAACACCACCATGGTACCCTTGTGAGCGGGCCCAGTCTCCAACTGTGTTACTCCCAGTCATCACAAATAAAATGAATAAAATTAATTGAAGCTAGGAAAGGCATTGTTCCTTATTTGAGATAGTGCTGGGATTCCTCTTCAATACTGGTAATGACCCTGTGACTTTGTTTTTCCATTCAGTTACCTGGTAATGGAATTAATGGATGCCAATCTGTGCCAGGTCATTCAGATGGAGCTAGACCATGAGCGAATGTCTTATCTACTCTACCAAATGCTCTGTGGTATCAAGCATCTTCACTCTGCAGGAATTATTCACAGGGTAAGGGGCAGTTTGCTTTAAAACTTAAGGCAGCATGTGAAATAATCATGAAGGTTTTAAACACCACTTGACTTTCTTGTATATTGTGGATCAAAGCCCTGCCTCCCAGTACAATAACTGTAAGCTTAAGTGTCTTAGCCTATGCCCTTTGCAGTGTAGGTCCATGCTTGTGTTAGGTTAAATGTGTTTATTAAAAATAAATAATAACCAAATAATAAGCACTGGAAGTCATCAAAGTGGTTGTGGTCTCTGAAATGTGTAGATAAATGTTATTTTTCCTAACCATGCAGCTGGCTATATCTTGCGTGCATGACATTTAGACTTTGAGTTGATATCGTAGTCTGGTCCAAGTATTCCTTGGTCAGGATCCAGAGAGGTCTGGGCATATAAAATTCATGTTTGCCATCATTTACAGGTAATAAAGCAAATTAAAAGACTGCTAAGTCTATTTTAAATGCATCCTCTTATTTTGCCTTTCCACATCAGAGTACTGTGCCTGATAAGGATGTGGAACCTGGCTGTGAATGCCAGAGGCAGCTCTGTGATTGTTGACAGCAAGGGGCACAGTTCACATTTCTGTGAGCAGGAGGGAATTCTGAATGGATTGAAAATACCGAGTTAACTTCTTTATTGAAATGTACTTTTACTAATTTGGAATTCCCAGATTAAAAAACAAACAAACAAAACAACCAAAATTGTTTCCCTTCCGTTTAAACAAGCTAGAAAAGAAGGGCTGATAAAATGGGTTACAAAGTGGATGTTGCTTTACAATAAACAAAGGTCTCATTTCTTGGCATGTTGTGTGTTTAGCAAGGGGTGATAGATTTGACTTTCAGACAGTTGGAAAGTTTCTATTAGGCTCCCAGCATTAAAAAAAAAAAAAAAAAATTAAAACAGTACTCTGATAATAATCCTAGTTTCATGAACTGCTAAATGCAATTAATTTATCACCAGTAGTCTCTGCTGTCCAGGTAAAGCTATCCAGGTGTCCCCACAGTATGCCAAGTTAGAACAACTTCCAGAACAGTTTGCTACAGAAAATAGTAGCAAGGTTTTGCTCTGTATTTACAGGTATTTCTGATAGTAACTGTGTCAGAAGAGTAAAAGAATATTTGAAGGGTGACCTAAAGGATCAATCTGTATCACAGCTATACTTGGCTTTGTAAATGACAGTCATGTGTCTTTTCATTGTCTCTTGCAGGATTTAAAACCAAGTAATATTGTAGTAAAATCTGACTGCACATTGAAGATTTTGGATTTTGGACTGGCCAGGACTGCAGGCACTAGCTTCATGATGACTCCGTATGTGGTGACACGTTACTACAGAGCACCAGAGGTCATCTTGGGAATGGGCTACAAAGAGAACGGTAGGGCTGCGGTCTCATAGCACAGTGTGACCTGAAGTGCAAGGTCTGCTCCTACAATTGTAAGGGGCACCTGAAGGAGAAAGAGAAAACATAATGAGAAATAACATCTTGAATTGGAACAGTTTCTCACTGTTGTGTACTGCAGCTACAGAATGTATTTGGGATGTAATGCTGGTGAATATATCAGTGTGGGATTGCAGAGTAATAAAAAACTTGTCCTTAGTTATGGTTGAGTTTAACAAGTACAGTTAGCTCTTTCTGACCAGAATATCCTTGGCTCCCGTGGCTGTGAAAGAGTGTGGGAACCACTGGATTTGCTGAATGAGTGATGTGTTCTATAACTGAGTCTGCGTCTCTGAGCTGTTTAAAGGAAGAAGAAGAGTTACAAGCTGAAATAGCAGATCCTAGCCCTTCCAGAATTTGTCCAAATCCAGAGCTAGATCTGAATTTCAGGAATGATTTCCTTCTTCATAATAGATTTAACTGAAGTCCCACATTTTACTTACAGGTTTCATGTGGTCATGATCTATGTATAAATTTTACAGTTTGAGACTCCTTTTTTTAAATAACAGGTAGAATTGCAGAGAAGAGGAAAAAGTTTTAACTAAAAGAAAATACATATAATTTCTATGTAATCTCCCTAGAAGTAAATAGGAGTTTGCTCTGGATAGTCTATGAGAGATCTTGGTCCCTGGAAAGACTGTAAAAAGCAGGTGGGGGTGCTTGCTATAGAGGAACAGGTAAGGAAGAACTCACATCTTGCAGGGGATGAAGAGAAAGCTTTTTAAGTGATTCTCATTTTATAACATAACTGAGAATTGCATCTGAGTGCCAGGTAGACTAGGAAAGGAGGGAATAGACTATGACTCAGATTTTGCCATCAAAATCTAGCAGTTGCGTTTGTACAAGAAGACTTTTGGATGGCAAATACAGGAATTTATTAAAAAGTGCCGCACTGAATTTCTATTGCAGAGTTTAGCTAACTTGAGAGAGAACTTCTACTAATAGCCAACTGCATCCTGTAAAGGGCAGTGAAACAGATTTTGGGAGCTGATTCCATGACTTAAGAACTACCAAAGGCATAATCACATGACCTCTTCTGAAATTAGCAAGTCCCTCTATGAATTATTTGTAATGTTTATGAATTTAAAGTGTACATTTTAATACAAAATTCTAAAAAGTAAAGACTTATTAAGTAGAGTCTAAACATAGAGAATAATTTCTGAAAAAGGAGTAATCTTCTGTAAAGTATTTTCTAATCAAAATTTTTGCTGTGCCATTAGAAATTTGAACTACACTCAGCACGCTTTAGAAAGTTCCTTAGTCAAAATCCAGAGTTTCTTCTATTGCCAAATTAATTCTTTTGCCTTTTTTTTTTCTCCAGACATTTAGTAGATGATTACCATTGTTGATGTTGTTGTCCATGACAGGACACAGAAAGCAGTTGCTTTTCATGTGATTAAAACCACACTAAGAAAAAGTTAGACACACTTTTGTGAGGAAGTACACAGCTGGGAAGGTTCTAAGAATGTTTGCCACATCCAAAGGCCCTGATCAAATGCCCATTGAAGTTAACATAGAGACTTCCTTTGACTTCCCTGGTCAGTGAATCTGGCTTAAGATGAATGACCTTGTCTTGCTTGTACGAAGACAAAATCCAGTAAACAGAGAAAGGAAAGAAAATATTTGAAAATGAAGGTCAGCTGTCAGAGAAGCTGAGCTGCTTGAAGGCTCTAATCTAGCTCCCAAGGAAGTCAACAGAAAGGGTTGTTCTTTGCTTCCCTGCTCTGGCCTGTGCTGCCACATTACTGAAGCTCCCCTACCGTTTTTTTCATCTAATGATGTACACTGCCTGTATAAGGACTGTTCACTGCTTTCATTTTCTTTCTGCACTTGGTTGGCTAAAGATGCATAATTATAACCAGTTTGCTGCACTTCTGTAGAAGGTCCCAAAACTGTCACTATGAAGAAAACTCTACCGCTGCCTCAGGCATGCTTTTGCTGTCCCATGCCCCTGATACCCGTACCTTCCTTCTCCCAACTGGAACATTTCACCTTTATTTTGTTTTACCAAGAAATGAGTTGTTTGTTTGTTTCTTTGATTTGTTTTGGATTGCTCTTGAAGGATAAAAAGGGGGAAGAAAAAGAGGAGAAAACTGGTTGTGTAGGTCAAACATAACTAAAAAAACGGGGGTTCAAAGCTTAGAAACAACATAGTCTTTTAAAGCATTTGAAAGCAGTTTTTTTGCTCTTCACGCAGAATACAGGGGATTTTTTTTCTGTGCATACTGTGTTACAGTACTTGTCCAGCCATTTTTTCTTGTAAGACTTAAGGACCAAAAAACCCCTACCCAACTTAAGCAGATAACACAGCTATGCATATTTTATCTAAAAGCTGAAGAAGGCAGGATCAGGAAAAAGAAATGCTCATAGTATTGTTGGTACTTGCCCTGAGGAGCATCTTTTTTAGCATTTATTTTGAGTACGTACACAGTACAAAGCTAAGTCACTCAGGTCACGCTCTCCAGTTCTTCCTAGCCGATATGTAGGCACCAACAGATACATCTAGATAGGTAACTAGAGATAAGACACAGGTACAGCTGCTGAAGCAGGAGTTTTAAATAACCTGTAAGGGTGGTACCTATCCATATGGCCTTTACTTGTGTGAGCAGTTCTCTTTGGAATCTCTTGAGTACTGCTGCAGAGAGACTCAGTACTGCAGGGCAAAGTCTGGAAACTACCTGACTGACAGTAGGATTTATTCCAGATTATCATTATCTGGGTTTGGATCTTTTTTCTGAGGGAAAAAAATTAAAAAGTTGTTTTTTCACCATAAATTCAGTGTATACCATGGATCTGTGCAGTTATTACTTGATCTTTACTTGCTAGCTTCGAACATTTACCCAAAATGTTGATTTTAAACTTTTTCCACTGTTGTTACTATTGTTGAGCTGCCTGACACAGCTTTTACTTATTTATTTATTTTAGCTTTTGGTGAGACACAAAAAAGAAACCCAACAAAACCACAAAACAAACTGTACTGTTCTGATCAACCTGTTCTTTTTCCCCTCCTTTAGGAGTGAAATACCATAGTTAACTTTGCTTTTTTTCCCTCCTTCTTCACTTCCCTGTGTCTGCTGTTCTAGTGGATATATGGTCTGTGGGATGCATTATGGGAGAAATGGTTCGCCACAAAATCCTCTTTCCTGGAAGGGACTGTATCCTTGTGCCATTTGCTGCAGCTTCACCTATTATTTGTTCCTCTCCTCCACCCCATCCCTTTTACCATAAAATGACTATACCAGGACTGTAAAGATAGAAGCAAAAAGTTGAATCCCAGTGGTATGAGTGAATGAAAATAGTGCACTACTGATATGAACAAAATTGAAAATGAAAAACAGATGCACAGGATTATTTCAGTCAATTAAGTTACTTTGAAACCTGAAATAATTCAATTTTATATAGCATTTATGTCATGCAAATAAGAAATATAGAAAACGAGCATTATGACTGCATATTGGATAGATTTAATTATTATCCTTCAAAGAAAAAATAAGAAAAAAGAAAAAAGTCCCAACTTAGCCTCTATTTTTCCTGTAAATCTGTTTTTCTGCTTTCATGTTTTGGAAATTGTGACTTCATAACATTTGTGGTGACATCATAATCATTTGCTTGCTAATGCATCATGGTTTTGGATTCATCTCAATGCTGTATGGGCTCAGAGTTGAGTCAATACAACATTTTTTTTTTCTTTAAAAGAAAGTGAAGAATTTGACTCACCCAGTTAAAGGCAGCCATTTATCTGCTGTGGTTTCCAAATTGGCCTGAAATCAGATGCTCTTGATTTAAAAATGGACTTCCCTTTAGTTGCACAAGTCAATGTAATGACACAATGCAACTGTGTCAATTAAACTGTATTTCCCTTCCATCTTGTTCTTCTTGTCTTGAGTGATATTATTTTTGCCACATCCAAGGTGGTAAGGTGGTAAAAGCAATATTAGAAAATGAAAATAAAAGAGGACGTGTCTGCTTAGCTTTTTGTTTGTCACAGGCTAAACCAGGCAACCTGCCCATGATGGCTTGGAAATGTAAGTAGTGTGTATTTTGCCCATGAGAATAAAATGCAGCAGCACAACATTTCTCCCACTTTCAGAAACAAAAAGGCATATTATTTCCAGCAAGCTGGCAGAAAGGCATCATAAAAATCTGGCATCAGCAGACACCAGCAGTTGGTATGAAGCAAACCCAGCTTTCATAGACATGTAGCCATGGAGGTCATTATTTTTTTGCTGACTCTTGAGTCATTCCTGTCATGTCATGTTCGTCAGGGTTAGGTCCTGCCTCCTATTTTCACAGCTCTGTCATTTTCTCTGAGAGCTGAGCTGTGCCCTGTGTCCCGGTGAGGATACAGTTATACTTCACTAACAGATAGGTGGAGAAACAGCAGGTACCTCCTGTTTTACTGAGGGGGAAACAGCTGCACCGAACTGGCTTCCAGTCTGGTAGGAATATGAACTGGAAAGTTACTGGATGCAAAACATGACAGCGAGGTAAAAATTTTGGGTTTTATTATTAGAAGTCTGATTGAGATTTTAGTTGATAAGAAACAAGAATACATAAAAGAAATGGTTTCAGGGTAAAAGCATAGTTGCATGGTTAATGGGTTCCTCTTCTTTTTCAACAACACATTAAATTTAAAGTCATGTTCTTCTGCCCATTTATAGAAAAAAATAAATGCCATATAATTTAAACAATGTTTAAAAAATAATTCAAACATGAGAATTACTTTGTTTCTGTCTGGCTGTGACAACAGTGTCTTATGACAGCGTCTTACTAAGGGATAGCAATAGAATATTTTTAAAATACCTTTTAACATTTCAATATCATTTAAAAAGAACAACCAATGTTTTTAGCAAATGCAGCAAATATTGTGTAAGTTGTAGGATAGTCCTGATTTTTAAATCATTGGAAATCCTATACCCTGAAATGGAATATATCTGGGCCAGGCCACAATTACTACGATGTTTTAGTGGTGATTTTATTCGGGTGAATGGGAAGTTAAAAAAAAAAAGAAAAAGGGACATTCATTTCCAAGTCAGTACTCATTTGTTAACCAGTTTGACCCCATGAATGAGTTGTCAGTGTTGGAAAGAGTTGTTTGTGTATGGGTCCATATTATTTCCCATCCCTCAGTGGTTGTTGATGAGCAGATCTAGTTTCCCTCCCAGGTACAGGAAGAGCTGGAGAAGCATTTGTGCAGCTGCAGGTAAACTTCACAGAAGGACATTATATACTTCTCTTGGGCTACCTAAGACCTTCCAACAAAGGGTTTTCTAACTGAAAGGCAAGTCTGTATAGAAACAAAAAAATATTGTTTCTTTTTAATTATTCAGAAGACTGTCTACTGTGTGCACTTGCTTATAAGCTTACTTGTTTCTAGTCTGGAGTAGGAATATTTGTGTATGGCACAGCATACATCTAGGAGAAATTTCACAGCTGCTGCCAAGTTTTATGAAAAGAAAAATTTTAAGAAGTTGCTCTTATCTAAACCATCACACTGAGTTACAATTGCATTTAGGTTCTGCTGACTTGAAATGAAATTTCAGTTTTAAAACATACATAAAGAACATTCTCTTAAGTTGCTATAAGAAAGCTCTGAAATCTAAATGGACTACAGCTGGTTTTCAGACAAATAACAGCCTCTAGTCTCCCGGAGAAGTACCAGGTAGAAATTGCCTAGCAGGTATCTTTATTCCATGTTAGTCAGCTAACGTAGGTACTGTCGGGGAGACTTGCTTGTCTCAGACCCTCTTGAGAAGAAATCCACTTTTCAAATCCATTTCCAGATGGATTTGCAGACCAAAATATTCCTGGCAAGTTCTGGTAAGCTTTTGTTTTTCACTCAGTGTTTCTTTGATGCTTATTCCACTTTTGCCTCACTTGAATCAGAAAGAATGAAAGCAATTAAAAACTGCCCAAACTCTTCCATCGGAAATATGTTAGAATCCCCCAGTGCTTTCCCCAAAGCTGTGTTCAGCTCTAGGTAATAAGGTCTTCAAAATCTCGTAAGATTTCAGTTTAAGGATTAGAAATGTATTTCTGATTTTTTTGTGAAGAGAAGGGAAAACTTAAAATGAATGCTTTTAGATGAGACAGATTTATTAAGATGTGAGCTGCCAAGGCCGTGGTGATGTCCTACAGGCATACATCACTTAATGGGGAAAATCAGAGCATTTCTTTTCAGTACTGAAAAGGAAGCATGTAGAGGATCATATTCGAGGAAGTTCATGTGAGTCCTTCAGCAGATAAAAGAGAAAACAATAACTTAGTCATAGGACACTTGGCTATTATCACAATATATTTCTAAGTTTGGCTAGGCCTGAAGTTCTGTGGTGAATATGAAAAACAGGATTCCTACCGGAGATAGCTTAGAGTCTAGGACAGTCAAAAGAGAAAATACCATTAAGGCAGCAAGAGGGAGAAATTTCAGCTTTATTCTATGTAATTATCAACGTGCAAAATGGCTTGTGAAGTCAGCATTAACAGATGAAGTTAATGATTTCTCTGGCCATATTGTCAAAAATTCCTTTGCCTGCTAGCTGTCTTTGAGAGCAGTGGGATTAAGAGATTCTCTCTGACATCTAACAGAGAGTGTTCTATTGCTTTAGGAAAAAAAAAATTGAACCAAGAAAGTCTTTTAGGAAAAGGTGCTGCCTTTCCACCACTCACTAGCAGAATTTGTCTTTGCGTTTGAAATAAGATCTGCATTGGGTGTAATCCTAGTGTTTTGTGTGCATCTCAGGTATTTTCTTGAAGTTTAGTGTAATAAAACTTCTGCAGTTTTGTTTAGTGCAATCTGTTGTTTTTCTTATTCCCAGTAGTATTTTCCTGGAGCCCCTGGTGGTCTAGTGGTAAAGGCGCCGCGCTATCACCGCGGAGACCCGGGTTCGATTCCCGGTCAGGGCCACTCCCGGGCAGGTGGAGCTCGTTAGCCCTTAAAGGCAACCCACCTACGTCCTAAGGACCTCGCTGCCACCGTCCAAGCTCACTTGGCCCCGGCAGATGAACCTTAGGATTAAAGGGTGGGCTCAGTTCCGCGCACACTGTGTCTCACCTAAAAAATCCAATGCGCAGGCTGGAAGGTGTAAAGACCTTCCCCGGATCTTCGCTCGCGAAGACTGGCCATTATTTATTATAGTATTTTCCTAAGCCTTGTTTTGCCTTAAAAAAAAAAGCAAACAATAAACCAACACAACAAAAACCCACCAAAACCAACAAAACCCAGAACCAGCAATTGACATCAGGATTATTTAAAAGATACTATTAAGAACAGCTAGCCTGGCTTTCCAGGTTGGATCAGCTAGTACGTGTTAGCCTGATACTTAAGTTGTGTTAGCTATCATGGCATCGATGGCTACTTTTAGATTTTGTTGACCTGGATGATTCCTCCCTGAGTATTTGGTATTCGGTTTTGGACTCAGAATTTTTCTTAAAGTTTGCTCATATGAGACCAGGTCTGTTTCAAAGAGACTTCTAAGTAGATGTGAGGATGATTTGGCTGTTGCCATTCTTCTCTTTTTTAATTCAGATATGCATACTCTAACAGTTCATAGAGTTTAATTTGCACCTTACCATGAGACCCCACACATATCTGTCATCTCTGTAGCATTTGAAGTGTATCTCAGGTGCTACAATGAAGATGATCCATTGCTTTCCCATCAGTCACCTGAAAGATTTTCAGGACAGGTCTGAACACGCAGTTTCAAAAGTGACCAAATGCTGCGGTGAAGATATGTGCTACACCCACTGCTACCTCATAGGAATTCCAACTGAGGCAAGTTATTTGTCCTTTCAGGCACCTATGAAAACTGGACGGTCTCAAATGTTTTGGGTTTTTTCTATGCAGTTAATCAATTTTTGCTTGATGACAACTGTGCTAATATGAGCTGAGTGTCACCGGTACAGTTGAGCAGAGAATTTAGAACTTGTGGACAAAACAGCACTTAAATGCCTTTTGTCAACAGCCTGTAGGTATTTGGTCAGGATCAAAGTAGAAAACTGGAATACACTCAAAATCACATATCATTTATCAGATATGAAAATATATAAGCATATTAAATTATATATAATCTGTTTGTATTGTGGAAAGAGAGAGTACCTGTGGGTTTCCTGCTGAAAGAGGTAACGCAAGTGTTACTTAAACACTCTTTGAGACCTG